TTATCCGGGCTTGGGCCTGTCGCAGAAGTCACTGGCTTGCAACCTCTGTGGCTAGATTAAACTAGATAGAAGCTCCACTCTTTAATAATGATAATCACTTTATTTGGCCAAGTATGTTACACATACAAGAATTGTTTTCTGGTACAGAACCCAGGCAGCCATCTGCAGCGCCAACTCAGCCATTGGAGGGAATATGGGGTTCAGTGTCCTGCCCAAGGAAACATCAACACATGGACTGCAGGCACTATGAGTCGAACCTTCAACCTTCCATTTGGGAGACAACCGCTCTACCCCCTGAATCACAATTACTCTTACATTACATAGAATGGCATGTAGCTACAGGCCACTGTATGCCAAAACAACCACACACAAGGACGGTTTCTTCCCCCTGCCCATCACTGTGATGAACACTTAACCCATAACTGTATATAACCTTGTAAATACACTTTTGTATATATCTGAAAAACTACATCTAAAATATGTGTGTGTATATATATATATATATTTCTATATTTAGAAGTACCTTATTTTTTTATTTTCCTAATGCACATTCCTTTTTCTTTGCACATTACTTGTATTTTCCTGTTCTCTCAGTCTTATCTTGTTCACTTGACTATTCATTGCCTTATGTAAATACATTTTCCAACACACCTGGCCAATAAAGCTGATTCTGATTCTTTCTAAACAGTATATAACAGTAATTCCTTATGATATCATTTAGCTAATTAAAATGATCCTTCTTTTAAGTTAGTTTTTTTCCTGTTATGAGAAGATGAGCTTCCTAGCTAACATAAGCATGAGTGACAGTGTTTGCTGCAGGCCTGATGGTGCTGACAAAACAATTGAACAACTTCATGCAACACAATCCCATTTTTAGTTTATAGGTACTTTATATATCATCTCCTGGCAGCCCCAAATCACAAAAAAACATTTTAGAACAAAAATTACAGCAGACAATAAAACATATTTAACACTTTTAAATAAAATGTAATACTTTATTATCTTAGAAGGCCTTTTTGGAAGGAAATTGACTTCACTGATTTGTTCTCTGTGTGTGTTACCCACCTGTAGGAAGCAGCTGGACTGGCCCTGGCCTGACAGCTCAGGGTCACCTTGCCTTCAGTCAGGCCCTCTGGGTAAATTACACTGCTTGGCTGTTCTTCAAATACAGGCCCACTGTCATGGCCTGACACACACACATCGCCACCTTGAAACACATTTTTAACAACACACAAAATCAAAACACCCAGCCCTGTGCCAGAGGTTGATGTATATACAGTCATTCCTGTCAGCCACAACATATGACATCTTGCCCTTTCTTTGTTTATACTGATTTTGTTTAGATGTTCACTCTGACCTTTAAAACTCAGACCAAACATTTAAAAATTTCAACTGTGAAAAGCTACAGTCTCCCTTAAAGGAATAGTTTGGGATTGCTCAAGCTGGTGTTAAAACAATATTGATGTATCCCTGTGTACACCTGAATAGGTCTTAGTTATCACTTCTCCTACTCTTCACATTGACTGAATGTTTCCACCTGGAATGTCACTATACTGCAAAAAATTAGTGACAAACAACACAGCCTTCATTCTAAATAAAGATGATTATCCTATAAAAAATATGCACTACAAAGTTTGTCTGAGGCTCAAATGAGCTAATTTGAGTCAGTATATATATTATAGAAACAAATGTTAGTGTATGCTTTTGTAGTGGTTAGAACAAACAGTATATGTCTAGTAGTTAATCTTTTGTTAATATATTCCTGACAAAAGACTAAAAAACTTAAAAGGTGATCCTGTTTCCCAGTCATAATCACATTTCAATAATATTGTTCAATAAATGACTTTTGGCACTGCAGTCATTTTCCCTGTGCATTGATTTAACCACTACACTTTATATTTCACATGGCCATATAATGATAAACAGGTTGCGATATTGATCATGCATTTACGTAAAGTAAGAAGCTTGTTGCTGATAATAAAAATTAAAAGCTGCTACTATCACATATCCCTCCACCACAGCACAGTCAGGTAACTTATCTTATTATTCTGCACTATTTCATTCCATTTCATCCCATTGCACTAGTGTTTTATAAGCTTACTGTACATTATCCATCCATTTAAATCAATAAAGTCTGTTGTATATTGTACATTACCTTACATACAGTATTTTACTGTAAATATCAATTGTACATAAATTAATACTGACTGTACAGACTGTAGATACTGCACACTCTGCACTCCTGTTATTGCACTTCTGGTTAGATGCTAAACTGTATTTTGTTGTGTTTGGTATTTTTAGTCAGATAGACATTGGTTAGGTACTTGTTGTATTAGGAATGTTTACTGTAGACAGGATGTCTAGCTTAGGCTGTTAAAATGCTTAGTCATTCCCATGGGGGACTCCAGGTTGTTTATGTTCAAGGATAACTAGATAGAAAGTTGATTACTGTATGACGTGTTTAATCATAATCGTAATCATAATATCTTCTTATGCTTAATGTCATGACATGTCACTGGATGTCCTGTCAGAATGTCTTAGATACACACCACACAATCAACAGACAATCACACATTGATTTTCTTCATGTTTTGACTACTGCTCTGGTCAGCTGCAAAGCTGGCACCGGGAGACATCACGGTTTGACGTTCCTGTGTAGAATGGGGCTAGCCCAAAGCGATATAATGTACAGGCCTGTTGGGTTCAGGGTCTTTCATCCTTCAGCTGCCTGCGTGCATGTTGGAGGTGCAAGATACCTGAGCGTGTAATGTTAATTTTTACCTGTGTTCATGGAATAAATCAGCACTGTTTTGAAGCTACTTGGACTGCCTCGTCTCTCAGAGTTAGCATGGTACAAAGAACAGGAATACAACAGTTGCCTTGTCCTTGTACATGTGTAATGACAAAGTTGAATCTAATCTAATCTAATCAACCAAATTCAAATTAATTAATCCTGTTGTGGTTTGTCGTGCTGTTTAAATTCATAGTCTGGCTTGAACATACCAGGTAGAATTTGAGGTATTGTCATTGTCGAAAACTGCTTATTTGTCAGTGTTTTTTGTTAGGAAGAGGCTGTCTGGTTTTATCGTTCTGAAATCATTACAAACTATTTGGAGTTATGATGTGTACAAAGCTAGAGGTACCCAAGATTAAACATTAAATGGCTGGAAATGAGCATGCTATGGGGACTTTAAGGTGTGGTGATTGATTCACAATGCATGCTTGTCGATGTGCAAGTGGCACAAGTGTTTGTGTTTTGTCCAATCACATAATGTAGATGGTTCACAGCAGCAGCACAGTTTAGTGTCAACTACAAACTCCATTTACTAAAGACAAGTGACAGAACAAAACTCAGATCATCCAGACTGACAAACTAGAGCATGATCTCCAGGAGGGGCCATGGAAAAACTGAAAAATCAGTGTCGGACCAACGAACCATTGTCAGTGTGAAGCCTACGGAATATCACCGGATACAAGAGACCACCCCACCCTTCTGTGGAGAGCTATAAGATGGCTGACGAGCTTAATGAGTTTTATTGTAGGTTTGAAAGGCAAAACTCTTCACCTATCGCTCACCTTATTTTGGACCCACAACCAGCAGCTGCTTCCTCTTCCTCTAGGACTACCTCTCCCACCTCTCCCCCCATCAGTCTACCACTTCTGAGGATCTGTGAAAGAGATGTGTGTTGCCTTTTTAGGAAACAAAAGATCAGTAAGGCGCCAGGCCCAGATGGTGTGACCCCCTCCTGTCTGAAAGTCTGCGCTGACCAGTTGGCTCCCATCTTCACGCAGGTCTTCAACAGATCACTAGAGCTTTGTGTGATTCCCTCTTGTTTTAAACGCTCCACCATCATTCCAGTTCCCAAGAAATCCTCCATCAGGGAATTCCCTGATGGAGGACAGTGATGTTCAAAGAAACAGAAGAAAGTAGCTCTACTACTAGATGTACAAGTGTGTGAATGCATCTGTTTTCATTAAACGTATGTGTCTGCTTATGTGTATATGTTAGGAGCTCTGTTACTTTATTTGACAAAGAGTTAAATTAATTGATTATTGCTGCCTCCATGTCCTCCGTGTGTGTGTGTGTGTGTGTGTGTGTGTGTGTGTGTGTGTGTCATGCCTGTACCGTAGTGCTAAGCATTCATGCTCAGTATTTATAGAACAAGAGATGTGCTTAGTTCCTCAATCCAAAAACTTGACAAAGGGTTTTGAAAAAAAAATCCTCTTTCCCCTTGAGGTAACACTTTTTTTAAGTGAATGACGACAGACCTGTCGCCCTGACATCTGTAGTCATGAAGTGTTTTGAAAGACTGGCATTGGCCCACCTGAAAGCAATCACAAACCCATGGCTGGATTCCCTGCAGTTTTCTTACCAGACAAACAGGTCAGTGGATAATGCAGTCAATATGGCACTGCACTACACCCCTGCAACATCTTGACTCACCAGGGACCTATACTTGGAAAAATCATTTCCCCTTGAGGTAACACTTTTTTTAAGTGAATGACTACAGACCTGTCGCCCTGACATCTGTAGTCATGAAGTGTTTTGAAAGACTGGCATTGGCCCACCTGAAAGCAATCACAAACCCATGGCTGGATTCCCTGCAGTTTTCTTACCAGACAAACAGGTCAGTGGATAATGCAGTCAATATGGCACTGCACTACACCCTGCAACATCTTGACTCACCAGGGACCTATGCTTGGATCTTATTTGTTGACTTCAGTTTGGCATTTAACACCATTATCCCAGACATCCTCCACTCCAAACTCACCCAGCTCACCGTGCCTGCCCCCACCTGTCCGTGGATCACCAACTTTCTTTCTGACGGACAGGAAGCAGCAGGTTAGGCTGGGGAAAACCACATCCAGCACCCAAACTATCAGCACAGGCACCCCGCAGGGATGTGTGCTCTCCCCACTGTTGTTCTCCCTCTATACTAATAACTGCACCTCAGGATTTCTGTAAAAATCATGAAGTTTGCAGACAACACTACAGTCATTCAAGATGGTGATGAGTCGACCTACAGACAGGAGGTTGAACAGCTGGCCCTGTGGTGTGGTTGTAACAACCTGGAGCTGAACACATGGAAGACAGTGGAGATGATAGTGGATTTTAGGAGGAGCTCCTCCATCCTATCTCCGCTCACTATACTCAGCAGCACTGTTTCAATCATAGAGTCCTACAAGTTCCTGGGCTCCACAATATCTTGGACTTGAAGTGGACAACCAACATCAGTGCTATTATTAAAAAGGTGCAGCAGAGGATGTACTTCCTACGTCAGCTCAGGAAGTTCAACCTGCCTCAGGAGCTGCTGATTCAATTCTACACAGGAATCATCGAGTCTGTTCTCTGTTCATCTCTGTCTGGTTTGGCTCGGCAACCAAGCAGGACAGAAACAGACTCCAGCAGACAGTCAGGACTGCAGAGAAAATCATCGGTACTAGCCTGCTCTCCATGGAGGACCTGTGCACCTTACGGGTCAGAAAGAGGGCAGAGAGGATTTCTGTGGACCCCTCTGACCCTGGATATAAACTCTTTGAACTCCTCCCCTCGGGACGGCGCTACAGGTCACTGTACGCCAAGACATCCAGACACAGAGATAGTTTCTTTCCCCGGGCTATTACAATGATGAACAGCTAGTCTATGTTGCTCTTCTAACTTGTGATTTTTTAGCTTGTATATATTGTGTATTTATTTTGTTTTTATGTTGTGCGCATTGGGGGGCCATTGAGCTGGAGTTAAATTCCTTGTGTTCTTCTAACACTTGGCAATAAAGTTATGCTTATGGAGACAAATATCTGATGCAGCAATCAGCAACCAGCAACAGACTTTACATTTAACTTAAGTGATGCTGGGATTTAAACAGACTGTTTTACCTGTGAGTGATCAGCTGTAGGTCTATATGACACAGATTGGCCAAACTTTGGCGCATGCTGACCAGTCATGAGCCCCGTGCACACTGATGTGTTTGTAGTGGTTTAAGTTACATGTTAATATGGATTATGTAATAGAATAGTGTTTATGGGTTCACTTTTAAGTTCATGTGAGCTGAATAATGAGCTTATATAATTTGGTCAAGATGTTTCCTGTTTTTGGGTACATCTCAGGGTGTTGTCTCCTAAAACTGGAGACAGGAAGCTAAGTTCGGAAATTGACGTAACAGCCTAAGAAAAGCTGCGGATAAAAGAGTGAGGCTGAGGGGTGTAGAAGAAGAAAGGATGGTGTGGCAGTTGTGAGAGTGAGCTTAGACCCAGCCAGGGGGACTCTGACTGACTGGACCCCTGACTGTACCTCGTGACCAACAATGACTGACTAGCGCTCTGACAATCTTCTTATTTAATACTTTATCTTTTCTCTTCCAGGAAGAGTGATTCTGTTCTCTGTTTCCTAACTACCAGATTACCTATTTAACTACTACTCTGTTCAGAATAATTGTAATATTAAATGATTACTTAAATTGGGATGATTTGTCTGAATTAATTTAGTCAGTATCACATTCTAGCCATGACATGTTCATTGTTGCTGATTGACATTGTATGAAGGCGACAATATGCTAACCCCTGGACATAGGAATAAAGCTTAACCTCTCACACTAAGGTGGCATATTTGAAACATATTAAAGCTCCAAACACTGCTTGGGGTTCCATGATGGAGATATTCACTCAGTAATTGACTACCATGAACCTGCGAACAGAGTTCCCTGCAGGCCTCCCTCTTTCATGTTATTAATTCAGGATAAGACCCCAAAACCTCCCAAATAACAACAACCTGCAGTTATTTGGGAGGTTTTGGGGCAGCTACCTCCTAAAACCCTCAGATGTTACTGTACTGAGAAAATTTTATAATCCAGTACACTCTGGCTCTTTGAGGAAGTGTTAAATTTTGTCTGAAATTATCAGTCAAAGCTGTGTCACTGGGCACTTAAGACCATATCTATTTTGCACAGTACTTATTTGATATAAGATGTTATTAAGGATAGGAAATTTAAAGAATGTACATTATGTAACAAGTAAACAGCTGGATATTTTAGATAAAATCTTATTCTGATATAACTTTCTAAGCACTGCCTCCCTTCGTACAGCCAGCCGGTTTGTACGCAATTCACCCAAGCAACAAGCCCAATCAGAAAAGTGCTGCTTGTGTTGTCACCGTGAGGTATCCAGAGCCAGGCAGCTTGTTAACATTGCTGGGTTGCCACTGCCTGCTTTGGCTCCATTCCAGTGTCCCTCGCTGTCATTCCGCTCTCCATAGAGGCTCTATTTGTAGTTTTCCTCTCTTCCTCCCCCACAGGCCGGAGCCTGTGGTGAGGGAGAAGCGGCAGCCTGCTTACTCTTTGGGCTGTGTTCCTTCAGTCCCTCGGTCTTCTGGATGTCAGGAAAACAACCGGACAGAACCTCCGGCTGCAACCATGGAAGGACTTCCTCGTTCCTCTTTTTGCCAGGGTTTTTAAAGGGTTCTGGTCGGTAGACTCAGTCCCTTCATCCAACCAGATGCCACAGTTTGCACTTAATACCTTTTTCGGCCTGCACACTGTCGTTCTTCAGAACTCATTTGCATATTGCGTTCAGTATTCTTGTACTCATGACTGCTTTTGATTGACCGGTTAGATCCAGCCTCGGATTCTACTTCCCCTTTCTTTAGAAAACTTATCTTAATACTTAACACAATACAGAAAACCCACTTCTGCTTGAAATACAAAAGTTCCCATTATTGCTTTCAACTGAACAATCAGAATTACACACAGATTTTTCACAAAACCATCAATGCCTTAAAATCAAAACATGGATCTTTATAGTTTGAATACTATACTTGACTAAACATTGGTTATTGATTAAACAGTTTTTATCAATCAAATCTTTACTTTATACATGGAACATGATTTTTTATTACTTTCTCAGTGTCTTTCTAATTTTTCATCACACTCCTCTCTCTGCCACACACACACAATTTCACTTCCCCTATTCAGGGATGTGTGTCTTACTTCCTCTCTTCTGTGACTCAGCATTCTCCACTCTTGGTGATGAGATTGGATATAAATGCACTTTTCACCATTTCCTCATTTGCAATCCAATCATTTTACATTTTTTTCTTACACATTTTTTGATTATTTCAAACGAAACAAACACACAAATCATCTCATGATTATCCTTACTTATTACTTTATGCATTCTGCCATAGCATTTTAATAATTTTTCTCTCTCTCTCAACTCCTCCTGCTGCTTCTTGTACACATCCTTGCTGTTCTTGTGTGAATTCTGACTGAAAAGAGACAATTTTCTCAATAGTCACCTGCAGCCCTTGTTCTAAGGTTTCTGATGCCAGATAATCAGAGGCTAGTTCTGCTGTTATGGTCTGTTTCCTGTGCTCCTTGGCTCTCTCCGGGACCCATTTTTACAGGCTTACCGACAACTTGTAAACCAACATGAAGCAGGAGGAGCTCAATGAACAATCAGTGCATTTGGAAATCATTTGGAGTACATTTGGAGTGGAGAGCATCTGCTCTCTTATAGATTTAGGAGGCATTGCATTTGATGACTGGTCATGACAAATATTTGGGGGGAGGGGCAAATTTCCTTTTTTCATATGTTGGGTGGGACGCGTTCCCTGGTCCTCCATGGAGATTGTGGGGAGATTCCCTGGTCCTCCATGTAGATTGTGGGGTTACAAGTGCACTATGACCCTAGTAATAAGATTATCTATCTCTCCTAGCTAACATTCACCCTGTGACAAATGGCTACTAATTCATAATGTCTCTGCCACATCAGAGAATTATGTCAGTCTAACCTTTGATTGTGTGTGCAGTTAGAGTTGCCACCATAGGAAAAGTGTTTACATGGCCATTGAAACAAGCCACAACTTAACTGTGTGTGTACACACACACACACATCATAGGTGCACTCTGGTGTAGCATTTCTACAGAGTCCAGGGAGACTGAGTGTGCATGGCTACACATTTCACCACACTAGAACAGTCCGGTAAGTCCAAAATAAGTTAGATCTAATACATTCATCACATGGTTCATTATTTCAATGACAAGGCCCAGTGGGAAGAAGGTAAAAGGGTCTTCTTAGAGAAAATTTAATCTCCTCCACAGATCGTCTAAAGCAACAATCATGACATTTTAATCACGCCCTAAAGGTGCCCCCAATTGAACCAAACCCACACATTCAAATGTCTCACTTACACAAATACAAATACATGTTCTTGTGTCAGCTACTTTATGGCACGGTGAATAAATTAATTCCCAGCAACAGATACTTTTTAAAAGTTGTGTGAGTGGTGCTGATATTCAAAATATTAGTGAGCTAGGAGGAAATCTGGGAATGTGGGGGCACTATCTAAAGCAAAATGAGAGTATTTTTAATGTATACACTGGCTCAAGGCTATTACTAATTACGAATTCTGTATGGTTTGTTGTCAAAGTGGGTTTATGTTTGGTTTTGTTAAAATACCTAATACTGTATTTAAAGACATGGTAGGAGATACAGTCCCACCATGACTTACGTTTTTCCTCATTATTGAACTTGCATACATATTACTGTGTTGAGCTATCATGCCGTGACAATGACTGCAGTTTCATAAGGACAGGTTACATTTCGACAAAACAATATTGGTTGTAACACACTTGCAGTAGCACAAAGGTGGACAGCTTAGAAGTGCTATGGTTTATTTCACAATCTAAACCCTAAAGCCATGTTCCAATCTTAAATTAACAATAACTGTATTCCTTCCCTGCACTAGCAAAAGCAGTTGTAATGTTAATAACAAGCATTCAGCTGATTATAAGCAATCATGTGTGGTAATGCGGGCCTTACCAACAGCCTCCTTTAGAGCCAGTGAGCTGAGGACCAACAGATACAGCAAGCGCTCCATCTTTTGGATCCACACGGACTACAAAGGGATCACAAATATTTCAGGAGCAGATGGGATCTCTGAAAAAGAAGAGGCATCCAATCTGGGCTTGTGCAGAAAAAGAACAAGATAACATTAATGAAATAATCTTAATGCTCTGGAGTAGTAGTTATGAAATGTAATCAAAATTGACTTCCCCTTCATCACTAAAATAACCTTGTCTTCTTCAGCAAGAAAAGAACACAATAATTATAACAACAACTAAGGTGATGATACACACAGCTCACGAGACAAGATGGTATTCTAACACTATTTTTAAGAAATCTTGATGAAATACAATATATGACTGGGAAAACAGTATTTTTTTGACTGAAAGTCACAAAATGAAAAACACTGCAGGTACATTTTGAGATGTTCTAACTAATCATATTTAATAAATGTCACTTCAGTTCTTTCTGCATATGAACTACAGTAGGCCAAATAAGTATTTGATACACTGCCGATTTTCCAAGTTTTCCCACTTATAGAGAATGGACAGATCTGTAATTTTCATTGTAGGAACACCTCAACTGTGAGAAACAGAATCTACAAAAAATTCCAGAAAATCACATTAAGAGTTTTAAATTTATTTCCATTTTATTGCATGAAAAAAGTACTTGATCACCTACAAACCAGCAAGAATTCTGGTTCTCACAGACCTGTTAGTTTGTTTTTAAGAAGCCCCTCCTATCCTCCACTCATTGCCTGTATTAATTGCACCTGTTTGAACTCGTTACCTGTATAAAAGACACCTGTCCACACACTTAATCTATCAGACTCCAACTTCTCCAATATGGGCAAAACCAAAGAGCTGTCTAAGGACACTAGGGACAAAAATGTAGACCTGCACAAGGCTGGGATGGGCTACAGGACAATAGGCAAACAGCTTGGTGAGAAGACAACAACTGTTGGCGCAATTATTAGAAAATGGAAGAAATTCAAGATGACTGTCAATCTCCCTTGGACTGGGGCTCCATGGAAGATCTCGCCTCGTGGAGTATCAATGATCCTGAGAAAGGTGAGGGATCAGCCTAGAACTACATGGGAGGACCTGGTCAATGACCTGAAGAGAGCTGGGACCACAGTCTCAACGGTTACCGTTAGTAACACACTACACCATCATGGCTTAAAATCCTGCAGCGCACGCAAAGTCCCTCTTCTCAAGCCAGCACATGTCCAGGCCCGTCTGAAGTTTGCCAAAGACCATCTGGATGTTCCAGAGGAGGAATGGGAGAAGGTCATGTGGTCAGATGAGACCGAAATAGAACTTTTTGGTATAAACTCCACTCGCCGTGTTTGGAGGAAGAAGAAGGATGAGTACAATCCCAAGAACACCATCCCAACCATGAAGCATGGGGACGGAAACATCATGCTTTGGGGATGCTTTTCTGCAAAGGGGACATACACAACTGCACCGTATTGAGGAGAGGATGAATTGGGCCATGTATTGCGAGATTTTGGGCAACAACCTCCTTCCCTCAGTAAGAGCATTGAAGATGGGTCGTGGCTGGGTCTTCCAGCATGACAATGACCCCAAACACACAGCCGGGGCAACTAAGGAGTGGCTCCGTAAGAAGCATTTCAAGGTCCTGGAGTGGCCTAGCCAGTCTCCAGACCTAAACCCAATAGAAAATCTATGGAGGGAGCTGAAACTCCATGTTGCCCAGCGACAGCTCAAAACCCTGAAAGATCTGGAGAAGACCTGTATGGAGGAGTGGGCCAAAATCCCTGATGATACAATATCTATGCCGACACGCTGGTGGCAGAATTGGTGCTAAGGTAGATTAGGATACGTTAGCAGCAGGGCTAACTAAAACACAACAAAAACTAATGGGCTGGAAATGTGAATGAAGACGCTCACGGTGACTCGTCATGACATGGCGACTCCTACACCACTCTCCGTTGCAACCCCTCACCCCTGACCAACACAGCCCCATGTGTTTAAAACACAGCAGCGAGTTGTATTTTTGCTGGACTACTGATATCGCAAGACAGCTTTTACCTTATCGTCACATATAAATATCATGCGATCTCATCACACCCCTAATAACAAATAAATATGACAAATGTAAGTTTCAGTAAGTTCTTCTTACTGCAAGGTAGTTCAAAACATATAATACTGCAGTATCCACCGAATCAAATCAAAGCAAATTTTATTTGTATAGCACCGAATCACAACAAAAGTAATCTCAGGGCACTTTACAAAGTAAGGTCTAGACCTTATTATTATTACAGAGGGAAAACCCAACAAATCCCCCTTAAGCAAGCACTTGGCAACAGTGGGGAGGAAAAAACTCCCTTTAACAGAAGGAACCTCCAACAGGCCCCGGCTCTTGGTGGTCGGCCTTCTGCCTCGACCGGTTGGGGTGAGTGGATAAAGGAGAGAGAAAAGAAGAAAAGCAATAAGACACAACAAACAACATCAAACAATCAAACACTGGTCAGGTTGATGTGGCCGGTGACTGCTCATCAGAAACGTAGAGCGCCACAGCCAGGGCAACCTGCAGAAAGGTACAGGGAGAAAGAAAGAGGACACACTACGAGAGAGAGGAGACACAAAGTTAGTGATGTGTAATGGTGGCATATATATGAATCTAGCCACAGGGGTTCAAATCAAATCAAATCAAAGAAACTTTAATTATCCCCGAAGGGCAATTCAATCAGGGATTGTAAGCTGTACCGGAAAAAATTTCTTGTGTGTGTAACATGCTTGGCCAAATAAAGTGATTGTCATTCTAAAAGAGTGGAGTTTCTATCTAGTTTAATCTAGCCACAAGGGTTGCAAGCCAGTGACTTCTGTGCCAGCCCCAAGCCCGGATAAATAGAGAGGGTTGCATCAGGAAGGTCATCCGGCGTAAAAACATTCCAAATTTAAACATGCGAATCATCAGTGTGAATTCTATAACGGATTGGTCGAGGCCTGGGTTAACAACGACAGTGCTGTTGACCTACAGGGTGCTGGCAGAAATTGGACTACTGTTGGTCGAAGGAGGAGAGGAGACAGAAGGGTTCATAGACAGAGAAGAGGAAAGGCAGGAGTATAGGTCTGAGAATAGGGACTCAACATTGGCACAATGAAAGGTAGAGAGCTGGCGAACACGATGGAAAGAAGGAAGGTAGATATACTGTGTGTGCATGAGAGTAGTAAAGTGCATAGTATTGGAGGGGGGTACAAACTATTTTATTATGGTGTGGATAGGAAGAGAAATGGGGTAGGAGTGATCCTGAAGGAGGAGTTCGTGAGGAATGTTTTAGAGGTGTAAAGAGTGTCAGACAGGGTGATCAGTTTGACGTTGGAAACTGAAGGGGTAATGTTGAATGTAGTCAGTGGTTATGCTCCACAAGTAGGGTGTGAGTTAGAAGAGATAGAGAGATTCTGGAGTGAGTTAGATGAGGTGATGGAGAGTATTCCCAGAGGGGAGAGAGTGGTGATTGGGGCAGATTTCAATGGGCACGTTGGTGAGGGGAACAAAGGTGATGAGGAGGTGATGGGCAGGTTTGGTGTTAAGGGAAGGAACCTAGAAGGACAGATGGTGGTGGACTTTGCTAAGAGGATGGAAATGGCTGTAGTTAACACCTATTTCCAGAAGAGGGAGGAACATAGAGTTACATATAACAGTGGAGGTAAGAGTACGCAGGTAGACTACATTCTATTTAGACGAGGCAACCTGAGAGACATTAGTGAATGCAAAGTGGTGGTAGCAGAGGATTGGCTGTGGCGACCCCTAACAGGAACAGCTGAAAGAAGAAGAAGGAGTTTCTATCTAGTTTGTTCAACAGGATTTTAGAGAGTGAAGAAGATGCCTGAGAAATGGAGAAGTATACTAGTGCTGATCTTTAAGAACAAGGGTGATGTGCAGAGTTGTAGCAACTACAGAGGCATAAAGTTTATGAGCCACACAATGAAGCTATGGGAAAGAGAAGTGGAAGTTAGGCTAAGAAAGGAATGGGATGTGAGCAGCAGTATGGCATCATGCCCAGAAAGAGCACTACTGATGCCATTTTTGCTCTGAGAATGTTAATGGAGAAGTATAGAGATGGCCGGAAGGAGCTGCATTGCGTCTTTGTGGATTTAGGGAAAGCGTACGACAGAGTGCCGAGAGAGGAGCTATGGTACTATATGAGGATATCAGGAGTGGCAGAGAAGTATGTCAGAGTAGTTCAAGATATGTATGAGAGGAGTACGACAGTAGTGACGTGCTGTAGGGCAAACAGAGGAGTTCCAGTATTTCGAAGTTATACTATTCATTCTGAATTTAATGAATATACAGTAACATTATATTTGATGCTGCAGACAGCCCAAATTATGTTTGTTTCATACATGTTCAATACAGGGTGGTGTGACATTTCACATTGCTCTCAGCAATTTCATTATTGCTGAGATGTACTTTTATAATGAAATAAATAGATTTCATAGGCTACATTTTAAATTCAGGGTTTGTTGTGTTCATTATTGGTAGTGAGGTCAAAGGTGAGATCAAAAGTTCTAGGAAAAGCTAGTAAGTGTATGTTGAATTGAAGTTTTTGTTAAACTGCTATTCCAGATATCAAGAATTTACTTCATAATTAACTTTTATAATGTCTCATTAAAGAGTTTTGCTAATATCCATGAATAAATGACAAACTGTAAAACAGAACCTTTATCACAGACTTGGATAATTCCACATAGGCAGTTTTTGTCATGATTCGGTTCCACTGCTTCCTGTCTGGCTTTTATTTTGACACTATTTCCTGTTTTGTTTCACCTTAGTTCTGGTCTTTTCTTTACGTTCATCACTCACATTAGTTGCACCTGTTTTCATCTCTATTTAGGCAGCGTCCTCCCATGAGGACGCTGCCAGATTGTTCTAGACCCCAGCTCTGACTTTCCAGCAATATATTCGGTTTTTGGTATTTTGTGTTTCTGACCCGGACTGTTAATTGGATTACCCTGTATTGCCTTGCCCTCTTATCTCGGACTGCTCATGTGTATCGGCTTATCGGACTTTCCCCTCGGACTACGCACTTTGGATTCCCCTGGATGTACGTGTTTGCTGGCTCT